AGAAATGACGTTAGAATAGCTGACGTAGAAACAGAGGTAGGAGCATCACCGGATTTGCTAAGGCGCACTACCTCAGCAGCGACGACACCAAACAAAAATATAATAGGACTAGATAGAGGTCTAACTAGTTCTCCCAGCAAGGTCCTAAGGCTCCCCATGTAGTTGTTATCTACTGAACTAGTAGTAAGAAATGTGTTAAAATTAACAACCACATTAGCACAGGTAAACCTAAAATACGTACTCATCACCCTGTTCACGGTACACGCTAATTCGACCTAGGAAGAGGGGTGAGCATCACTACACGCCGCTAACAGAACCATAGGCGAGCAAATAGGCGACAAAAATATTGAGTAAAAAATATAATCGTTAGTTTTACCGGAGGCACAAAATCAGTCTGGAGACGTAGAAACACAAAGGCACGCCGTAGGGCCGCCGCAGATAAAATTATTTCACGGCACGCACGGGTGGTGCAACCGAAATTTCAGCGAGCTGACGTCCGGAACACACTCAGACAGAATTAGCAGCCACATTGTCACTCTAGCGTCAGGATTAGAATGATGTAATTGCGGAGAGAGAAGGAGAAACGTAGTTGAACGGGTGAAAAGGGTGGAAACCCGAGTAGCAAGCGCACGCGTCACAGCACAACAGCGCAGCAAGATCTCGATAGAGGAACATAACACGCGGCCGAGATAATAGAACAGAGCGAATCAGTAAGCACAAACGCCTCGCACTCCTGAAGAGCAAGGAGGACGTGAATTACGTGCACACAAGAGAGCACAACGATCCTGCGAAGCAACACAAGGCAGAACAGTAGCAAACACACTCCTGGAAGACCAGCCGAGGCCGTCGGGACACCGAGTAGAGGTTCGGGTAGAGGAATAGAAGCAAGATATGTAGGAGCAGCCACTCCCGTTGAGTTCCGTTGAGGCTAGTAGCAAACACACTCCTGGAAGACCTGCACACAGGAGAGCACAACGATCCTGCGAAGCAACACAAGGCAGAACAGTAGCAACACACTCCTGGGAGACTATCCGAGGCTGTCGAGAGGTTAGGGTAGAGGAATAAAAGCAAGATATGTAGGAGCAGCCACTCCCGTTGAGTTCCGTTGAGGCTAATATACAGGGTTGAAAAGCCTGGACCCCCCCTTGAGGGACTGCCGAATAGTTGACTACGCTGATAGCCCAGTGCCCCAGGCTTATGGAGCAATCCGATAATGATGCAAAGGGGAAAGGAAGAAAATGTAAGGGGTAGAGAAGAAAGGGAAGCAACAAAACCGTGAGGCGGTTTCTGTTCAAGAAAGGGGGAAGTTGTAGTGCGCAGGCACTACAATGGGGTTTTGGCATGGCCTCTAGAGGCG